AAAAACTCATTTTTAATGCTACTAACATTTAGATGTTTGCACACCCTAATTTCTATATATCTGATTACTACTAGTCACAGTCGACTACTTTCTGAGATGTTTGGTGCCTGAGGATAGATATAAAATCATCAGGCAGAATTCAGTGATGATGTTTTTCACCTCTGGTAATTAACATGAAGCAAATTTTTATGCTTCTTCCTCAAGTAAAACTCTTTTATTTATTGATTTTTTTGTGTGTGTATTTCATACAGAACATCCCAAACAATCTTATTCATCTATATACTCACATTCCAAATGGCAGCCTCCCATACCGCGCCCCCCGCACTGGAGCCCATATACTCTGTCATCCCTGTTACTGTCCACTGTGTTGTTGGCACCCCAGCCATTCCCCAGTGCTTGTCCATCTGCTGAGTCTAGTCAGCCTATCCAGAGGTCCTTGTTTTAGGAAGATGAGCTGTTCCTCATCTAGCAGCAATCAGTTGCCAATATTCCTTTAGATAAGACCTTAGATAAGATTGCTTAGCCTCAGTGGGAAAGATGGTCAGGTTAAGGGGCTTGCCATGAAGCCTAATGACCTGAGTTCAATCTCCAGGACCCACATGGTGGAAAGCAACCTGTGGAATTATGACTAATGTTAGCTATACACATGGATTCTTAAAGTATTATATTGATCCCTTTAATCTTTGGTTATACTTTCCTTTTGGGTCTTTAAGACCATACAGTTGGCCCAAATAAATCAATTTGTTTTTACACTTAAGGTCATTTGAGGATCTATTCCTCAGGGGTCACATGGGCTTGGGAGGAACCCCTGGCTCCTTTCTTTTATCAGTTCCATCTTTGTGAAGATAAGTGAAAGGTCCTGCTTGACCGTAGCTGGCTTCACTTGGAACCATGAATGAGATGTTTCCTCTGAGTTGACCCTCCTCTTTGTAGACTGGACAGTGGTTCAAGTCCATCAGGTGGGGTGTCCATGGCCTCCCTGAACAAAAGGACAGGTGACCCACCACAGTTACAGGACATTTTGAGAGATGCTCATAGTCCCCTGGAACTTAGTCGATCTTGGAGGGCAAAGGAAGAAAAAACTGTCCTTTAAGTACCTCTGACCAAATTAGTATAGGCCTCAAAGTATGGCTGTTAAACACCCAAGAAGGTTAGTTCCACCAGTCTGGTACAAAAGTACTATGTGTTATGTAGATAAAGCTTGGGCAAAGACCAAAGGTTCTCAGATAAACCTTGCCTAGACATGTATTACATTCGTTGAACTAGTTGTATGT